TGTTTTTCACTACTGAAACATTTCAACGGATAAACTTTATTATTAACATTAAAAGCATTACTGTGTGTGTGTTTAAAATCCAGAATTAACGATTTATAATCCCAACACGAGGGTAAACGATTTTCTCGACGATTATTTTTTTTCTTTTTTTTCAAAAAAAAAAAATAATCACCATTTAAAAAAAGGAGGGAAAAATTTTTAATTATTTACCGAAATTCGTGTCTAAAATTGTTGAGAAAAATTCTAGTTTTCTGTAATTTAATTTATAATCTAATATTTCAATTAATTTTTTTTTTCATATCTGTATATAACTATAACAAAGGACTGTGAAATTTACTAATTTTATAGCAACCATTTCCATAGTAACTGTTTCCATAGTAACTAGTACCATAGTAACTAGTACCATAGTAACTAGTACCATAGTAACTAGTACCATAGTAACTAGTACCATAGTAACTAGTACCATAGTAACTAGTACCATAGTAACTAGTACCATAGTAACTAGTACCATAGTAACTAGTACCATAGTAACTAGTACCATAGTAACTAGTACCATAGTAACTAGTACCATAGTAACTAGTACCATAGTAACTAGTACCATAGTAACTAGTACCATAGTAACTAGTACCATAGTAACTAGTACCATAGTAACTAGTACCATAGTAACTAGTACCATAGTAACTAGTACCATAGTAACTAGTACCATAGTAACTAGTACCATAGTAACTAGTACCATAGTAACTAGTACCATAGTAACTAGTACCATAGTAACTAGTACCATAGTAACTAGTACCATAGTAACTAGTACCATAGTAACTAGTACCATAGTAACTAGTACCATAGTAACTAGTACCATAGTAACTAGTACCATAGTAACTAGTACCATAGTAACTAGTACCATAGTAACTAGTACCATAGTAACTAGTACCATAGTAACTAGTACCATAGTAACTAGTACCATAGTAACTAGTACCATAGTAACTAGTACCATAGTAACTAGTACCATAGTAACTAGTACCATAGTAACTAGTACCATAGTAACTAGTACCATAGTAACTAGTACCATAGTAACTAGTACCATAGTGACTAGTACCATAGTAACTAGTACCATAGTAACTATTTCCATAGTAACTGTTTCCATAGTAACTGTTTCCATAGTAACTATTTCCATAGTAACTGTTTCCATAGCAACCGTTTCCATAGCAACCGTTACCGCGACTTTTCTTTAAATTAATTGAATTCGAAATTTTTTTTAATTTATCACAATCAATTTAAATTCGTTACACGGAGGTTATAGAGGTCACTGCTTACAAATGTGGCGCTAGTTTTTCAAAATTTAAAAGTTGAGATTTATTATTGCCTACATTTTTTGAATTTTATCGAATTTGTTCAAAAATCTGTTATTTATTTGTTTTCGAGATAACTGATTGCAAATTTGGCACTAGTTTTTCAAAATTTAAAATATCGAATCCGATCAATTTTTGAAATAATTTTCTACCATTTTGCATCCGCCATTTTGAATTTTGAAACACTGATGCCAAATTTGTAATCAGCTTATATAATGAAAAAAAAAAATTTAATCCAATGCAGGAGAGAGAGAGATATATATAATGGCTTATTAACAATTCAGTTATCCTTGAACACATTGTGGTTTCTGAGCCACAAAATACATCATGCAATGCACGTTGGGCACTAATCAATCACGTATTAGCTTTCGAGGGGATTAGTTCATGAAGTTTGCAAATACTACCGAGTGCGGTGACAGTGTGTTTCAAATTATCAACTTTAATCAATGATTCATCAGTTTTTAATTGCCCTGTGCGCCATAATTTTCCTAACCAGATAATATTTTTGATACGAATATTTTGTTGAAAATCAACAAAAAGAAACAAAAAAAAATTGAAAATTTTTTTTAATATCATTCGCAAGATGATAATGCAATTTTTAATCATATACACATAGCAAGTAGAAAGTTGGAACATTTTTTTTTTTTTTTTAATCTTTTGACACTAAAACTAATTGTTAAATTGGAAAACTAAAACGTGCAAACTTTTCCATGACAGAGCTTAAAGTTTAATATACATTTTGTATGAAATTTACTTTACGTGACTGGGGGGAAAAAAAAAGAAAAAATTTTTCATTATACATACGTATTTAATATACTTGTATAAAATTTTTTCGTTCTCATTTTCCACGCTATATAAAACATTTTTATGCTCTAAATAAAATAATTTGTACAGTAATAAAAGAATAAATATTTTTCACAGTTCGAATGTGTGAAAAATATTGAAAATATTTTATAAAATGAAAATTTTTTTTTTTTATAAAAATGAAAAATAATTAAATTGATGATAAATTGATTGAAACTTGTGGTCAATGAAAAAAATGAAGTGTAATAATTTAGTGAGAGATTTAGAGCATTTAGAATATTAAGATTATAGTGAGTATATTCATAATGGGGTATAAACACTTGAATTCGTCAGCCCCTGTACTAGCTCTCTTGTACCCGGATACTTCTCCGACATCCGACCGAGACGATATACAACCAGTTTGGCGTGGCTTAGACGGAACAGAAATTGGGTTATGACAACACTCTTGGGAATAGTTTCCCTTTATCTTGCACATGCTCTTCTCACAACACCAGTTTAACGTTCACTCAACTGCTTGAACTATGACTTATGTACCGTTCACAAGCAACTTATTTTGCATCTTATTATTTTAATGATAATTTACACAAATACAATTCATGAATATATATATTCTATCAGGAAATATATTTATCTCTAAATATTTAATTCTCCAGAATATTTTTTTTACTGTAATTATTTCAAAAATTTGTAATTAGCATTTTATAAGATATTAATTTTTTCTGTTAATTATTAATTTTTCAAGATTTAAAACACGTTAAAAAATAGTAGAATGAAAATTATCACTTACTTCTTCAGATGGAAATTTTAATATTCTTTTTTTAGTAAAAAAAAAATTAAGAATTTTCCAGTTTAATGAGAGACGTGTCATTAGTCTTTGAAGTAGTAATAAAAGAACGGCTACAAATTAAAACAGTTTGAAAAAGCTTTTGTAATATTTTTTTTTAATCTGAGACTTTTAACGAAAATAATTGACTTTAACATTTTTTTTTTTAATAAAAGATTTTGAGATATTCGTATTTGAAAATATTTCGTAGTTTGCTATTAATTTATTTTACCATTACCCCCCTCCCCCCTCACTGCTTCTATTTAAATATACGATTTATATTCATTTTTGAAATTACAAGAGTGACAAATGGTCTATATATATTTCTTTGCAAAGAGAGAGAGAATATATTCATATGAGATACTAAACGAGACAGAAAAGGAACGGGATAAAGAAGAGGGGTAAAGGGAGGTATGTGGCACATCCGGGTTTAGTCATGATAAGCTTAAGGATTGCTCGACTTAACCTGACCCAACCCTAACCTCTCTGAGGTAGATTCAGATACACTCGCACATTTCTACCGCCAGCAAAATTTATGCATACACGAATAACGCGCTTTCTAAGGGTCAAACTGAACAAAAACCGTCGAGCTCCACGGGAAAACGGACCTTAAGAGCAAAACAATTTTAGGTTATGTTTAATTAGGTTATTTATAAGTTTAGGTTATTTTTAATTTAAAATCAAAATCAGTTTCTATTTTGGAGAAGACTCTGATTTCAATTTGAAAATCAAAAACATAACCTTAAATTTTTTTTACCTCAAGGTCCCTTTTCTTGTGGAGAGTCACATATAATATGGATGAGAGAAAAAAAGAGAGGAAGAGAATAAAAGAGAGAAAGAAGAGAAGAAGAGAGAGAGAGACAGAAATAGGATCGAGAAGGTACATATATAGAGATGAAAAGAGGATGGGAAAACTAAATGCTTCGTGCCAACCTATGCATGCTAATGCTTGTCTTACGGGTCCTACATCCTAAGCTTTACGGCACTGGAACTATACGATGTAAACCTGTAGATCCTCTCACAACGAACAATAACGTACTTTGGACAATGAAAATTGTATGTCGTCAGAATATTGACGGAATGCCCATCAAAGAAACGTTTTCGGTTACAAACTCAACCATAAAGTCAGCCTCTGTTGTTGTCTCATAAAAATTTACCATCACTTTTCGTACAACAATTTAAAAAAAAAAAGGCTTACAGGCATTAATTCCTTTTATCCTTTTTTAATTTAATTACTCTCGCTAACAATTGGCAAAAAATTTTAGAATTTATTTTACATTTTCGAATATTAAAAAAATCTTTTAAAATGATTTGTCTATCTATAGAAATAATATTTAAAAATTTTAACAGAATTTCCCCAAAAATTTTTTTAATTAAAATTGATCGTCTCGGTAAATGCAGTATCATGCGATCAAATTCATAACTGGCTTCCTATATTTATATGTAAATAATATAAGCTTAGAGTATGTGTAATTATATTTGGGCTTTACAAAGAAGGTACAACCTATCTCCTCCATGTGAGATTATACACTTGCAAGCGATGTAGGAAAATCCTCTTCTTGTTATTTGTAGACGTTCATTTTACTATTTTACACCTTTAGCTATATACAAGTGTAGTTACTTGATGTAACTTTATAGTTTGCAACGCTTGCTTCTATTTTCTGCTCTTTAGAGGCCTTGAATATTAAGAGCGAAACTCAGAAACTCGTAAGATGGCAATATAGAAAGCTAAAGGGGGGACGGGGCGGGGGGGGGCTTCTTGTATTGATGGAAAACTCGCTAGGGAAAATTACAATCGATTTTCAACTTTATATATACGTTAAAAACAAAATTGTTTTTTCACATATAGACAATGAAAAAAAAAATTTATATTATACATTGAAATTTCGCATAAAAAGTTGGGAACAAAAATATACGATCATACTGAGGGATTATATAAGCGAAAAAAATATTTTTTCTAAATATTATTGTTTTGAATTAATTTATCCATATTTTAATATAATTAAAAAAATATTTTAAATTCTTACCTTTATTCAGCAACCAATGTATCATTTTGGAGGAGAAGAAGAAGAAGAAGATCTGAAGAGAAGATTCAACACTCGCGATTTAAAAAAATTTCGAACACTCCCGAAAGGATATTTAAATTTATTAAGAAACAAAATACTTTTTCTAAAGATAAAAACGATCGCGATTTAAAAAATTTCGAACACTCCCGCAACAAAAAAAAATTGTACTAAACTGACAAAAAAAGGACATTTTTTTATTCACTAAAAATTAGAGCACTACGGAAGCTGTTCATCTGAAAATAACAAATAAAAAAAAAATATAAATATATATTTTTAACACAGACAAATGGTTTAAAAATTAGAAAATTTATTAGTTTCACAGAAAATTAAAAGGCATTAAAATAAGCTGCAGCGCTTATTATTTTAATCCAATTTTGCTTATTTTAATTCATTTTGGTATTAAAATAAGCAAAATTGGATTAAAATAATAAGGCAGCTTATTTTAATACCTTATAATTTTCTGTATTGCCATGTCTAAACAGGTCAAGACACGAATTGCAACTGATTTAATTATCTTTGGGATTACATTGTTTATGACCTTTGGCTTTGTTCAATGTAAACAAACAGCTCGAGACTCAGGTATAAAGACAAATTTGAAATTTATTTGAAAATTATTGTATATTTAAATTTATAGTTAATATTAATTTATAAATTATCAAATAAACCATAATTTTCAAACTCCTTTTTAAGAAATGGTCCAAAATTGATTTGATCGATTTTTGACGATTTCGGACCAATAATCAAAAAGCCAAAAAAATGGTGAATGGATAGAATTTATTTTTGACGATTAGAAATTTTTGCACCCTTCAAAAAAATTGTTTCTCAAGTATTAGTTTTTTTTTTATAACTTATTTGCCTGCTCCAAATATTATTATTATAGTCGAGAAGTTTTAATATATAAATAATATATAGTCGGGCTCGTCTTGAAAAATTGTGTTTCTTGACCTGCTTAACAATACATTCATTTATAGAATAATGGTAAAGTTTCAGAGTGGCCTGAGGCGTATAAGGAACAAGATATTATTAGCTAGTTATGGGTCCCTATAGTAACATTCAGGATGCACGTATAATGCAAAATTGTGTTAGTGCACGCTCGATTATATACATATACATATATATTTGTGTGCAACAAGATGGGTATGCTAATAATGTTGAATCCGAGTGGGGCCCGTACACAGAATCGCACTCGCATTAGGAAGTTTAACGCCGAATAATTTACCTATTAACATTTTCGAACATTCACATTTTCTACTATTTAAACATAAGCGCGAATTTCTCCATTTATTTTTCAACGTATTTTCGTTAAATCAATTTTCGTTAAACGCAAATGGCTCATTTCAAGTACATTATATATCAGTTTTAATCCAGAAATTACATATTAATTTTTTTTCGTATTTTATTTACAATTATTTTTTTTTCACACTTTATATTATTCGGATAAAAATTTTCTTTGAATCAAATATAGAATTTTTTTTTTCTATTAACACAATTTTTTTTGTCTATTTCAAACAAAATTCGTTTGATTCAAATTATGACTTGATTTTTATAAATATTTATTTGATTCAAATATTTATTTAATTTATAATTATTAAAAAAAAAGTATTATTTTTCTCACAGTATAATTTTCTTCTGAGGAAAATTGATTGTATCTCTCAATTGCTAAAAGTAATTAAATTCCATTCGAACTGTATGAAATTAGATCCCATGATATATATATATATATAGGATGAGAAAATATTGTGCTTCTTCAAACGAACTTTGTGAAAATGAATTGAATTCACATTACGGGAAATATATCTGACAGGCAATTTTATTGTAACTCTTGTCTAAGAATTTTTAAAATAATTTAATACGAAAGTTCTATTATAACTAAAATATATCAAATAATAATTAGAATAATTTTGAAATATAATTTTAAAATATTTTTATTATTGTGTTCCGATAAAACAAAAAAATTTTTTTTTTAAATATACCACTAATTATGCGACTTAGTTAAAAAAATGATTTTCAAAACAAAAAATAATGAAAACATTTTTTTTTTAAAGAAGAGATTAAATTATTCAACTTTGGGGGTCAATCATCTCAACTGACAAAGCGGAGTCAAGTTTAGAAGACTATAAATGTGTATATATGTATAGATATATATATTCTGTGACATCCTATCAAATATGTAGGGGTGTGGACACAGAGGAGAGTTAACGCACAGTTGTGAAAGCGGAAGTCCTATCAATAGGGACGTTTGCAATCGGAAATTATCAGTTCCGGTGGACTAATGCTTTTCCGTTGAAGATAACGTTTGTCATAACACGTCCCTTGTATCGAACTCGCCTTTGTGGACTTTATAACTTTAATACCCTGTCACAAAGTATTACGAAAAAATTTTCACAAAAAAAAAAGTCAAACACAAAATCCTTATGTAGAGTACTTTCTTTTTAAAAGCATACATATATACCTGGATCAAGCATTTTTTTACTGAGAGAAAATAATTATATAAAAGCAAGTTAAAAAAACTGTTATGTCAAAAAAATTTAAATTACTATTAATTTTGCCTAATCTAAACTTACAATTATACCCTGTTCTAACTCCTTAATTTAACTTAGTTAAATTAACTAAGTTGGGGAAAGGATTATTAAATGAATGTTTAAATATAAAAATTATTTATTTAAAAAAATGTAAATGTTCTTAATTATTAATTTTGACAATCAAATATTTAGAAAATCTATTTAATTAGATTTGGTAAAACTACCTTATTTTATGTTGTGGCGGAGTGTTGTGGCCTCTATGGGTAGATTCAATGTCGGGACCTCACAGACACGAAAAATCTTTATTGCTTTTTCTTTTAGTAGTGGTGACTCCATAATAGATTTCCTGCTTTTTTAGATCGTCTTTTCTAATTTTAAATATTAAGAACATCACACCTTTATGAAATATAATAATTTTACATATTGATTAATATTAATTACATTGATTATTTCTGTCTATATATTTAGTTTTGATAACAATTATTTTTGTTTATAAATACATTTGTTATTTATAAACAATTGTTTACTTGCAAATATTTGTTTACAAATATTTGTTTATTTATAAACGCTCATTTATAATTTAATATTACAAGAATATTTATTTTATTAAAATTAATTATTAACAACAATTATTATTTATTATAAAAAAATGTGACGGTGACATGATTATATATTTGTTTATTTATAAATATATTTGTTTATTTATAAACAATTGTTTATCCACAAATATTTGTTTACAAATATTTGTTTATTAAAGAACAATTATTTATTTACAAATATATTTATTTATAAAAGAATTTATTTTATATAAATATTTATTTATTAATTATTATTAATTATTATTATTTTTATAAAAAATGTTACGGTGACGTGACAAAACATTATTAAAAAAAAATAAAACAGAATGATTAAAAAAATAGTCATAATAATTTTACAATTATTTAATTAGGTGATCTGATTTTAACTAATTGTAAATATAATTAATTTTAGTTTACTGATGTAATAACTAAATTAAATTAATGTTAAGTTTATTACTTCTTTTTTCTTTATTAATATTATTATTAATTTTCATTTATTGTTAATAATATTTTTTAGTGTTTTTTTTTAGTTTAGTGTTGGTAATAAAATAATAAGACTAAAAGCTCTAAAGTGAATTTAACATTTTCAAAAATAATTTTGCGTGACCTCTTCAAAATTTCAAGTCATAATTGACAGCTATAATAGTAAAGTTTTCAAAGTCAGGGATTTTGTAAATTTTCTCTGACGATCACGCATAAGTGAACGCCAGACTTTACTGTAATTAAAGTAATGGCTAAGCTCTTAAGGACTTAAATACTACCCATGTGTATACATTACAACCCTATAATATTACAAATACGTGAACAAACACTAAAAACTTGAAACATTAAAACCTGCATATATTATAATATCAAATAAATATTTACTCTAAAAAATAATTTTTTTTTTTTTAAATAATTTTTATATATGAAATTTAATTCAGTTATTTTTTAAAATTAAATTTCACATATTCTTTTTTTGTATGAAAGAAAATTTTTAATCAGTGTAAAATTTTTCGAATGGAATCGAGTAGAGTCTACTTTTTTTTTTTTTATTATTTAATTGGAAAGTGCAATAAATATTATCTTTTTTTTTCCCCAAAAAATAAAAAGACTTTTACGATGGGATCCGATTTTAAAAACTGTCAATTAAAAGACCCGTATATTGAATTTCTAATAAAAGGATAGATTCACTTACAGCTTATAAAGTGATTGACGCATGAAACTTTTAGCCGATCACTTTATCCATTAACATGTTTACCGATGCATTATATATAATATCCTCAAATTAGCTTTTTTCTTTTTATATCAGTAGTTAATGATAGAATTTTACAAACACACACACACAAAAATATTTGCTATTTAATTTGTGAATTTAGTAAAAACAAAATCTGAATAAGGGAATTTTTTTAATATTCTAATATGAGGATAACTTTTTTTTTTTTAATCAAAATAATTTATCTTTTCAAATAATGAATATTTTGTTAAAAAAAAAATTTATTGTACAATTAAACAATAAAAAAAAAGTAAATTATCGATAAGATTAAACTCCTGAACATTAATTAACATTATACAAAATTACCACACTCATCACAGATTTGACTTAATGCTTTAATAATCAAACATGCTAATCCGAAATATGGAGGATTGTGTAAAGCATTCGCTCCGTTCACTTCGTACAAATACAAATGTGTTTATATATAAATTTCAGTATACACAAAATTCATATTAAAAAGTTTTAATTAAACTATTTTTAAATAAATTCTATATTCAAGAAAGAAAATTTTTAATATAAAAATATTTAATATTAAATAAAATATTTAATTGTAGGTAAAAAAAATCTTTGTTAAAAATTATTACTATTATTATTATTATTATTATTAATTCTTATAAAAATTTTCAAATATTAAAGGATTTAATCCTTCTTCTTCTTCTTCCCCTTTTTTTCATACATTTTATATTTTGAAATAAATGTTGATTATTTTTGAGGGTAAAATGTACGACCAGTGAAAATCCTTAAATTTGTCGGGGCAATGCGGTAACTGTGCGGTGTCGGGTCCGGTTCGCATTAAGGGAATTTTCATTTTATGCGTTCCTGCAGCAATGAAAGTTCCCTTCTCCTTTCCCTCGAGCCACCAATTCGTTAGCCCACTT